CCCTTATATATATTTTATATATATAATCTACTTATCTGTGTATTTAATTAATTTTCTTGTCAGATCTTGTTGATACGACGGGCTGACCGGTCAACACTGATTTTAGACACAGTACACAGATGAAGTAGTTATGTCTCGTGCCTTGCGCAGTCGTGGAGCCAGCGCCCAGATGAGTCAGTCGGATGATAGCTCCGTAGAGATGGATGACCAGGCTGACCATGACGCCCCAGCTACCACAACATTGCGCAGCCCCTCACCTCGATATTCAGCGTTGTCTCCAGAGATAATTGCTTTAATGAAGTTTATGAGGGATGAAAGGCGCGAGGATGAAGCTAACAGACGTGTGGCGGATGAACACAGACGACAAGCAGAGGCAGAGAGAGACCACCAACGGAGATTGGAAGACAGTGCACGGTTTGAAGCCTTGATATCTCGCCTCACTGTTAAGCAAGCCCCTGGCTCTAACACTGCCTCGGTACTGACTGGTTCAGATACCTCATCAATGCTTCCTTCACGCCCCCCAGCCCCACCTAAAGCAGCAGCTCAAACACCGCCCATCTTGAAGCCTGATGAGAATTACCAGACTTTTCGTGAATGGCGGCGACGGTGGACTGATTATGCTACAATGGTGGATCTCCAGAGTTTGTCACAGCCTAAACAACTTATTCAGCTGCGTATGTGCCTGTCCTTGGAAACTCAGCGTGTCTTAGAACATACGTTGCAGGTACCTCCGACCTCTTCGTTGTCTGTAGAGGAGGTACTGGATATTCTGCAACGGTACATCAAAGGGCAGCGGAATGAAGCTCTGCGCAGGAGGGAATTGTTTAGCTGCAGGCAGATGGAGGGTGAGACTTTTGACGCCTTTAATGTACGACTCGAGCGAGCCTCGGAAGAGGTAGATATATGTCCAGGTAACCACCAGCAGTGCGAGGAGACCCAGTTGAAGCAGGTGATCCTCATGGGTGTTAAGGACGAGGAGCTTGTCCAACGCCTCACCTCCCCCGACTCTTCCTCCTCTCTTAAGGATGTGTTGACGATATGTCGCTCCTATGAGGCTGCCAGGTGTGCCACCTCTGCCACCCGAGCTCCCCCTACAGTTGTACGCGCTGTGTCCCGGTGCAAGAAGGACAAAAAGTCTGCTCCTACGCCTTCGCCCACCACGTCCACGCCCGGTTCATTTTGTAACAACTGTGGTAAGCAGCACGGAACACAGGTGTGTCCAGCTGCTGAGTCTACCTGCAACAGTTGTGACCGTAAGGGCCACTGGTCACTCACAGTACGGTGCCCAGCTAAGTACGTCCAGTGCAATGTGTGCGGTCGTCTGGGCCACTATGACAAGTGTTGCCCTACCAACAAACCCAAGGGACAGCGTCGGCGGAAGCTTCAGCGCCCTTCCACCAGTGAGGGCCGCCCACAGTCTTCCAATCAGAAGCATGACGACCCTGGACAACGCTCGAGCCATATTAGGAATGTGTGCTCCACCCAGATCCCAGGACCAAAAGTCCCCAGTACATCAGTGTCTCATCGTGACCTACGGCGGTGTGTCATCCCGTCTTCGAATTTGCCCGACACCGGCGCTGATGCTGCAGTCATCGGTCCCCAGCATTTTGCAATGCTTGGGGCTCTCTCAAGTGATCTAGGACCGCCCCCAAGGATCTCCGCTTCGCGGCAGATGGTTCTGAACTTGACGACTAGGTTCCTCCAAGCACAAGAATCACCTTTGGCAACTTAGTTCGTGTCAAGCCTGGATTGTGTGCATAACAATTGTCCCGACTCCTTTGCTGTCCTACGAACATTGTCAGAGTTGGCTATCATCTCCCAGGGCTTCCCCAAACCTATTCTCGAGGTAAGAAACAACGCCAACAGAGGTGCAAGAATGGGCAGCAACGACCCTGCTGCCGCCCCTACCCCCGCCCTACCCCTGCCTCTTGCCAGTGACACCTCTCATTGGATGCTGGAAGTACTTCCTGAGAAGATGGTAGGATTTCCCCATGAGGATCCACCTGAGGGACGGCAAGCCCTTACGCTATCTACACCTCGACTGGTTCCCCTGGCCTTCCCATGGCGGTCAAAAGCAAACTGGACTCCATAGTGCGCCCAAAAAGTATTACACCAACCCGGTGATGACCCACGTCTCCATGGTGCCACCCTATGATGATGCGTCCCTTAAAACCAAAAGGTGAATTGTTCGGATCTACTGACACTCTCAAGCTCAACAGCCAGGTGTCTCGTCCTCGCACCCTTCTCCCGCCCTTTGCAGCTATACGCGAGGTGGTGAACCCGAAGCGCTTCTAGCTACGGCGATGGGCGCTTGTGTGGATACTGGCAGATAGAGCTTGCGAAGAAGACGACCACTTACAACTTTCATCACCCGCATGGACGTTACAGTTGTACCGTGGCTATAGGATTCGCTGCTATAGAGCGCTTTCTGTCTTCGAGGTGACGTAGCTCTACAAGGTTTGTAAAACGCCCTGCGTGAAAGAGGTGAGTGGAGAATGACATACTGCGTGTATGCGATGAGGATTACAGGATACCTCTGCCGTATCTCACGAATTTACTCCATGAGTGCGGAAGCGGCATCACCTAAATACCGACAAGTTTGTTCTGGCCAGCTCTTGAGTGGACTTTGGGTACACGCACTCGGGAATGGTATGCGCTGACCGAGAAGGTCGCCATCGCGGATTTTCCGCCCCTGCTAACCTCACCGACTTGAGGGTCCTTCGCCGGTCTGCGTCAACCAGTTAGCAGAGTTTTCGCCGGACATCTCGTAGCTGCCTTGCTCCGCCGCTGATGAGCCCAAAGGGGCATTCCTGTGGACCGGCCACGACAAGGCCTTCCGGCAGAGTGAGAGCAGGCCACAATACAGTCCACCTGTCTCGCCACGTTATTAGCCTTGCCGACGGTTCTGCAGACAGATACTGCCTCCGCAACATGCGGCGTAGGATACACGCCCTATTGCAGGATCCGCGGTGGAGGCATTCCTGCTTTCGTCCAGTGTGGCTGGCGTTTCCTCTGACACCGGGCAGCTATGCCACTATTGAGTTGGAGCTGTTGGCTGTGGTTTTGGGCGATGTCCCAAGTGCAGGTTTTACCCCTCATAGGCCTGCAACACTTTCACCTCGTGACCGACCATCGCCGCTTGTCGATCCTCAGCCACTACTGCGGCTGGGCGCCGTTGAGAACCCTCGCCTCCAGCGTCTGAAATAAACTCTCGGCGTGCATCTTCCACGTGGCAGTGTGGGCCAGCCCTCGAAGACCATGTGCTCGAGGTCGATCTCGCTCTTTCCGTCAGGACTGTGGTCACTCTTCACGCCGTCCAATCCCGCCGTTCGGACCTGTCGCAGATGATGACAAGGCAGTGGAGGGACCGAACAGCGGCCGAATGACCTTTCCTACATCCGACAAATGCAGTGTGTGAGAATGGATTTCTAGCAACATACGGCCTTCGCAACACCCTGCTCCGTATTGGGCTCAGCGATGAACTCTGCTGCGATGGAGACTGTACATTTACTTATGCGAACGCGTGTAGTTGTCCCTGCTGCATCCGTCCCCGTCTTGGCCGCCTTCACGACAGTCACCATGGGCTAGAGGCCACCAAACGACGTGCCGCGACGGGCTGTGTTCTGTGGCATCGCTCCGACATCTCAATGTTACGTCCGTGTGTGTGAGCCTGCCAAATATTACAACTATGTAGCAGCAAGGAACCCAGCGCTTCATGAGTGGCGACAACCCCTGCTTTGAGGTCTGTGTGGGCCGACTTTTCTGTGTGTCAGAGAAGTCCTTCCTTTGTTATCGTCGACCGTCTCTGGTTGGCGGTTGTCATCAGAATGCGGTAATGATGACCGCGGCGTCTGCCGCCACCATCAGCAAGTTCGCCACCACTAACTTCCCGTGGCGTTGGCGTTTCACCAATAGCCTCTTGAACCGTAGGAGGAGCACTCGGATTCTGGCCGGGACTTTGCTGTATTCGCTTGACGATAGGGAGTCCGGCATGTGTTGTCGCCGCCCCGTACCCGCAGTCAATAGCCACACTGGGGCTGCTGTATCAAATCATGAAGCACCTCATCCTTAGGTGGCCCCTTCTGGGAATATTGACTTCTTGACGCCGGCCGGGGTCTTCTTGAACTCCACCAACACCGCCTGCTTACGGGCCTCCCCTGCCCAGGTTTTGTATGGACGCCCCTTCGTTCTTATTGTCCCTGCTCACCCTCAGTCATGCTCCCAAGGGTAGCGGGCCAAGACGAAGGATTGTGATGCATGAGCCGCCCGAGCGTGTTCAAGGCGTCGTAAGCCTTCCACAACGACCGCTGTTCTCTCCCCAGGTTGATGTGCGGCACCAAGTCGTGTTCAGGACCCGACCTCCCTACAGGACAAAGTAGGCGTAGTCATGGGTCTCCGGTAGTCCGCAACGGGACTACCAGATGCGGTTACACCCAGTGGTCGTGTGGTGGAGGAACCGCCCGTTTCTCCGTCCCGTAACAATGCCTTCTGCTGACCCGCCACCAGTGTTGAGTCCCATACCTTTTTCCCAGTGATCTAGTCCCTCGGCGCTCAGAACGGATCCAAAAGAAAGGTCCGCTCAGACTTTGCTATGAGCCAGACTTTTGCTATGGCGTATAGGGGAGGGAGGAATGTATGTATATTCTGTATGCTGTATTTATAGTATGTATGTATTTTATGTATGTGCTCCATTTATGTACTATTTATTCATACAACTAGTAGCGTGTTAATGGCAATGTATTTAAAGATATCCCATACTAATTAATGTACTTACAACGACATAGGAAATGCTTATGTATCACTTTATCGTTGCCTGAAGGTAGTTGACCAGCAGACAGGTTGAGGAGCGCTACTCCCCTATTGTACATATCTCTTATCCAGTAAATAGAACCTACAAACTATACAGGTGTTTGTGTTAACTCCTGTATATAGAACTATACCCAGAACACGAGCATTTGTTTTCTTGTAAACTATCATGAACTTAACGATTAACTAACAAATTAATTTTAGTATTTTATTGCTGGACTGCCTTTATACAAGTAGGGTGTTGATGGCAGGTGCGTCTGGCCTCGGGACATGTGTAAGGCATCTTAAACCAGCGGGTAGGAGGCCAAGGTGGCGATACCGCAGTTGTTGCCTCGGTTACGAGCCATGTTGATGTAGCCCTGCTCACCCCAGGCGGCGCCCCACGAATTCTTCACGATCCAGTAATCCTGGTCCCCCGTCGTCCCGTACCCCACCGTCAGCATCGCGTGGTTTGGACTCCTTGACATACACTTTGGGTCGTAGTACACACCTGTGTAGTGACATAGATCAGCCATATATACTGTGTATATTGACGCTTGTTGTGGTACGAGTTTATCTGTTGACATTTGTCGTATACTCGTATTTACATTAGATTGTTTATACGATTTAGCGGTAGCAAATTTCTGCGCACGCACGTGTGTGTGTGTGTGTGTGTGATAATAATTAACTGTTTATTGAAAGAGGCTGGCATGAAGGTATAGTGATTTTTGGGAATGGGTTTCGAATTACAAGCAATATACAAGTAACATAAGTGACACAAATAAGACGTATAATAACTAGATGGGGAAAAGCTCAAACTACAGTTCATTTCAACATAGTGACAGTGCAAGGAGTAGTGTTTACTGGGAGTGAATACACTGATTTATTACAAGTTATTGATAATTTTTACAATGGTTGGGACTGGGCTGTTCTTATAGCGATCAGTTCGTGCACGTATGGGCTGGATGCGGTTGTGGTGTCGAACAGCAATTCTCGGACTAGGGATCTCAGGTGGTAGTAGGAGCCGGTGTGTGTGTGCGCGTGTGTGTGCGCGTGTGTGTGTGTGTTAGAAATTATGCTAGGTAAACAGGATAGAGTAAGACAGGTGGAGTAAGAGAGTGGAGTAAGACAGGTGGAGTAAAGAAGGTGGAGTAGAAGGTGGAGTGAAGACGTGGGTGAAGGGTAGGGGTGGAGTAGAAGGTGTGGAGAAGAGGGAGGTGGAGTAAGACAGGTGGAGGTGGAGTAGAGGTGGAGTAAGGAGTAAGACATTAGACTGACGGGTCTGGACGGCCACTCAGGCGAATAAATAACAGAGAGAAGGAACTACTTCTGTTGACTGTGTGTGTGTGTGTGTGTGTGTGTGTGTGTGTGTGTGTGTGTGTGTGTGTGTGTGTGTGTGTGTGTGTGTGTGTGTGTGTGTGTGTGTGTGTGTGTGTGTGTGTGTGTGTGTGAAATAATAATAATTAACGGTTTATTGAAAGAGCTTGGCAGCCAGAAGGCTGAAAATATACAGTTACATATTTGGGGAATGGGTTACGAATTACAAATAATATACAAGTAACATAAGTGACACAAATAAGACATAATAACTAGATGGGGAAAAGCTCAAACTACAATTCATTTCAACATAGTGACAGTGCAAGGAGTAGTGTTTACTGGGAATGAATACACTGATTTATTACAAGTTATTGATAATTTTTACAATGGTAGGGACTGGGCTGTTCTTATAGCGATCAGTTCGTGCACGTATGGGCTGGATGCGATTGTGGTGTCGAACAGCAATTCTCGGACTAGGGATCTCAGGTGGTAGTAGGAGCCGGTGTCGGGGATGGTGTAGAAGCTTCTTACCAAATTTGCAGATGAGGTCGTGGCGATGGTCAGTGAGAGTCGAAAGGGTCAGTGTGTTGAGCGCTTCTTGATATGTGGAGTAGGAAGGGGAGAGAATAATCTTGCATGCCCTCTTTTGCACTTTTTCTAGGTGTTTACGTTGTGTGGCATTTAGGGAGGAAGACCAGGTGGGGAGGCATAGGTGAGCTTGGGAAGTATGAATGTTGTGTAAACACTGAGGAGCTCGTGTGCAGGAACTCCGAGGGACTTGAGTCGGCGGAGGAGGTGGAGACGGAAACTGGAGGATTTGATAACTTCACTGACGTGTGGTTTCCAATTTAGTTTGTTGTCTATGGTGACGCCGAGGAGCTTCGTGGAATCTACAACCTGGAGTGTGTTCGGACCTAGAGTAATGGAAGGAGGTGGGACAATGTCGGAGGAGAGGTTGATGTGCATAACCATGGTCTTGGTATGGTTGATGGTGACATGATTGTTGGTGGCCCAGTTTTGGAGACTGTTCAATAAATCCTGAAGGGCGGTATAGTTGGGAGCAGAATTGTTGACGCTGATCCCAATGGTGGAGTCGTCGACATATTTCCATCGAGCAGGGGTTTCTCTTAGGGCATCATTGATGAGCATAAGGAAGCAGAGTGGCCCCATCTTGGTGCCTTGGGGGACGCCACAGGTGAGTGACTGAAAGGTGGAGACAGCCCCTCGGAAGCGTGTGTGTGTGTGTGTGTGTGTGTGTGTGTGTGTGTGTACTCACCGCTGGAGTAGAACTGGAACGACATCTGTGAAGCATCAACCTCGACGGACACAGGTCCTACGTCCCTGACGGCCTTCTGCAGCTCGCTCTCGCTGAACTCCTCAATCTGCACGTAGCCTGTACACTGGGCGCCGATGGCTTCCTCTGTGTAGTGACAGGTGCCGTCCTGCTCACAACAGAAAGAAATTTTAGGGATATTTCATCCTAGATGCAAGAAAGAGGTAAACTAGTAGTATTCCTGTAAGTATAGTTACTCAAATATTACAAGCAATGGTAGACGTGAGTCACACCCACAACTGCTGAGAATCACTTTATATTAAACTGCATAAAATAGTTCACAATTATCCAGATTATAAAGGAATGACATACACCTACATGATACCTGACGCCACGCCCACGAGACTGAGTTAACTTTTGATGCTTTAGGCACAAGCTTTTGAATGAGTTATTTTAGCCTGTACTGTAGCGTCCGTCCTTGTATGTAATTAAATACAGTAGTGAGAGATATTGGGTACGTTTCGCTGACTTACTGAAGGCTGGTCAGGGTAACCAGCCTCCGTGTCGATGCCACCATTATCCTTGACGTAGGTGAATGCCTCAAACACTCCAGGGAAATAATCATCCATACAGTCGACGAGCTGCTGCTCCGAGAGGTCCATTAGTGTGCCAGCCTTGACAAACTGCTGTCCCTCCAGTGACCCCGTCTGTGGGGAGGTGCATTGTTAGGTACAGGCAGTACATTATATCATAGGTGATGGGCATCACAGTATCATACTGATACTACATGAAAATTAATGCGCCTGTGCTATATTCCTAAAAAAAAAAGTTTCTTACTTAATACAGGCTAGTGCACTTTACCTGAGTCAAAATATACCCTTTTAATAAACAAGATGATCCGTCATATCCCTCATATAATCTGGCCCCAAAGTGGTGTTTTTGTTGGCTAATGTGGAGGTGGACTCTATCGAATTGGGTTTGTAGATCATCATCTTGTCCCTCTTGCTGCTTACCTCAGTGATCGTATTGTCATCACATTTTATCTTGTCTCAGTTGCCGTATTATTAACTCATATACAGGTTGGCGACACGTTACGTCACGGTGTGTGTGTGTACTACCGTCCACCAAGTCGTCGTTTGCTCCGTGAAGAATCAAATGTTATAACACGACTCTGAGTATTTAGTTTTTTGTATTTATGTATTGGATTTGCAAGTTAACTTAACCGGCTGTAATGTAGTTTACCGTAGACAGTTTAAGGTGCAACTTATCGTAAACTGAGACGCATTACGAGCACATGAGCGGACTTCTGCGTTACATGCTTTGCCAAAGAGAGAGATCAGTTACTGTATTGTCAAACAACAAACAACTTAGTTTAGTAACAAACAATTAGCAGTGACAAACAACTTAGTTTAGTAACAAACAATTTAGTTTAGTAACAAACAATTTAGCAGTAACACACAGTTTAGCGGTGACAAACAACTGAGTAGTGGGAAACAATTTAGTTGAGTGACAACTTAGCAGTGTAACAAACAACTCAGTGGAGTGACAAATAAAGCAGTGGAGTGACGAACGCCTTAGCGGAGTGACAAACAAATTAGCAGTGTAGCAAACAACTCAGTGGAATGATAAGCAACATTGACACGCACGTCAGCGTTTACACTGGAACAACCTACAGCGGAGAAGGACCAGCTTGCGCCTGATGCTCCCTGGTCGCTGACGGGGGTGACAGCGCCCTTGTTCCGCCAGTCCACCTCGGCCTCTTGAGGCAGATGTTCATCCTGGTGTAGGGGGGTCCTTGGGGCCAAGGGGGGACCACGACCCCTCTCTGCCTTGTGCCCCATTATGATGGCCTTGAACTCCTCATGTGTCTGTTAAATTACAATGAATAATAATGATTAAGTAACACCTATGTTGTTTTCACTCAAAGGATAATGTGAACATGAATTTAGTGACGCAGTGAATGAGTCATGTTTCATTTGTCATTTTCACCACGCGTAGGAGAGATCAGTGAAACTAAATCTGTTTACTGTATAATACAAAATGACAGCCGTGAGGAGTGAAGGAGAGACTCGCCTTGTCTCCGAACTGGTTCATCTTAAGGGAGAAGGTGACCTCTCCCCTCTCAAACCTCTCGTTGAAGTCCTCGATGTACTGCTGGTTGTGCTCGAACACCTGCTGACGATATTCTTCCTCCTTCACGTCCACATATTGACGGCCATACTGGACCTGGCGGGAAGGGGGTGGGGAACCTGTATCACTGCCACATAACCTCACACACTAACGGTCATACTCACACTATGTTGGTGTTGCATCATTATTGAGTTTCACTTGAGGTGCAATGTGTGGGCGTCTCTCTCTTCATGGGTGTTTGTGTTACTCTGCCCGATACTACTTCACTGATTGTGTGTAATAATAATAATAAACGGTTTATTAATAGGGTTGCAGCCGGTGGCTGAAAATCTACAAACTTACATGTGATTTAGACATGATAATATACGTTCAATACATTTACAGGGATGTACAGTACATAAATTAGGAGTTGTTTATTATTTTAACAATAGATGGGATGGTGCTGTTCTTATATCTATCAGTGTGGGCTCTTATGGGCTGAATTTTGTTGTAGTGGCGGACTGCTCGAGATGGGCGGGGGACTGCCGGTGGCGATGACGAGGATGGTGCAGTAGTCCACTGCCAAACCTTGCTAGTGCTTGGTGGTGGAGGTCACTGAGGGATGGCATTTCCAGGGTGGAGAGAGCGTTGTTGTAACTGGAGTAGTCTGCGCCGAGCATGGCTCTGCAGGCCCTTTTCTGTACCTTCTCTAGCTGACGTTGTTGGGTAGAGTTGAGAGAAGATGACCAGGCTGGTGACGCATACGTTAATTTTGGGAGAATAAAGGCGTTGTAGATAGTCCTCAGCTCTGGCGTGGGTGCCCCAAGTGACCTGAGTCGTCGAAGCATGTAGAGTTGGTACGAGGCTGCCTTGATTGTGTTGTTTACATGGGCCTTCCAGTCCAGTTTGTGGTCTATGGTAACGTCCAGGAGTTTGGCAGACTGCACTAACTGGAGAAGATGGGCACCCACTGTAACTGCTGGAGCTTGCACTGGAGTGGTGGCGATATTGATGTGCATGACTACGGTTTTGGTGTGTAATAATAATAATTAATGGTTTATTGAAAATATTCTGCAGCCCGAAGGCTGAAAATATACATTGGACATAAATGACTTATTACATACATTGGTGGTTTAACAAAAGCCTTCATTAGAGAAAGGTAAAGGAACATACAGTGAACATACAGATTAATGTAGGTGTTGAACAGCAAACTCGTAGTGTAGTAACTCCCTCCCAGATGGTGTTAGGAGGAACTCACGTGGTGTAGTGGTTCCCTCAGATGGTGTTATGAGGGACCTGGCGTGGTGTAGTAATTCCCTCGCAGATGGTGTTATGAGGGGCCTCACGTGGTGTAGTAATTCCCTCACAGATGGTGTTATGAGGGACCTCACGTGGTGTAGTAATAACCTCACAGATGGTGTTATGAGGGGCCTCACGTGGTGTAGTACTTCCCTCACAGATGGTGTGATGAGGGACCTGGCGTGGTGTAGTAATTCCCTCACATATGGTGTAGTAATTCCTTCACAGATGGTGTTATATGAGTGAGGTGTGGTCTTAGGCCTTCCTATCGTAGACGGATTAACACATCGCTGGTTGTTGTTGGGTCTCACGGGCCGTTATCACTGGGTACCTGGGACCTCAATGTGTGAAGGTTAACTTGGGTACGACTGTTACTGTTGAGTTCTCACTGACTTAAGCACTGTTCACCTCTGTTTAACACTGGTTCCGTTTTTTTCCTAAATGAAATTGTAACTTCTGGCGAGAACTTGTTGATATTCTGGTGGGGAGGAGGGTTCAGGGGAGGGGTTTGGTATGGGCCAACTTAACAGTTGACCTGGCTGCTCCGAGAGGAGCGCCAGGTACGTCTTGACCCTTCGGTGGTCAAGGAGTGTGTGTGTGGCCACACAAAGGGGGGTGAAATGCATCTAGAGTGGCAGCATTATGTTAGTGAGTGTTAAGGTGCAAGCACTGCTTGCTCACTCTCGCTTTCAGCTGCCGCCGCGGGCTAGCCCTCATGACGAACAGGGAGGCAACTTGCACAAGTCTTCCCCTGCCAGTACACAGCCTCCTCACCATCAACACCCCTGCTGTGCCTCCTCGTGGCAACACACTGTAACTGGATGCCTCGTGGGCCCAGGCTAGATAAGTAAAGGATCTTGGAGTAGCAGTGGGCCCCAGAAGGCCGGCACATAAGCCCACTGGCATGTGGACACGTCCTGGTGCATACCAACCACCGCCCTGCTGCCTTGTGGAGTAACCTTGGTAGGTATAAGGCTACGGGAGTAAACCCCGAACGAAAAATCTGTGGTGGAGCCCCGAATCAGGTAGATATGGTTACATAGCTCCAACAAGACCCCAACGGCGGTGTAGGCGGAAGAGGTGACCACTGAAAACCCATGACTACACTGGCGGACGAAGGCAATACTTGAATGGTAGGCTACTAAGGCAAAACCCAACAAACCAGACTATCGGCAGTCCATTGCAACTCTCTCTCTCTCCCCAGTCGTTGCAACACTTTCACCACTGGATCAGGAAAAGGGAGAGCCAAGATGTGTGGTTGTAGCTGCGCTCCTGCCTCTACATAAATCAACACGTGCACAGCCATCATCCAGCTCATCATACCTCTCATCATCATCAAAACCCATATACCCTCAAAAGACCAATGGTGACGGGGACAGGCAGAGATGACTGCTGGGAGTCTCTAGTCACAACTTTGCACATGGGCGGCACAGATAAGATGGTCGTTTATGCACTGGGATCTAGGCAGCAGTGCAATCCGGTCCTGTCTGTGTGACTGAGCAGCCCTTTCGGGGAGCCACTCTGCTCACTCTACAGGGGGAGGGAGCGAGAAAAGGTGCCCTAAATATAGCCTGCTTAAGAACCCAACCTGACTAGGCAACTGCACCCAGTAAGGTCATCCTTATGCCGCCGAAAACTCAACCAAAATCACAGATCCAAACAAAAACAAACCAAACAACCTCTCTTATGGTTGCTGCATGGAATGTCAGCACCCTTCTGGATACTGGCACAAATGCACATCCTGAAAGAAGAACTGCCCTTGTAGCAAAAGAAATGGCTAGATATAACATCGAAATAGCAAGCATCAGTGAGTCCTGTCTCCACTCTCTCCTGGAGAATATATGGGAAAAGGAGGACATCCCCCAAGCTCTTAAAGATGCCTATTGTCAATATGTATAAGAACAAGGGAGACCAGTCAGACTGGCAACTACTGTGGGATATCGCTGCGCTCCGTAGCTGGCAAGATTATCGCCCGAGTCCTAAACAGACTTCTTCTTGAGACGGAAAACTTCCTCCCTGAATCTCAATGTGGTTTTAGACCATGCGACACCACTGACTTGATCTTTGCTGCCCGCCAGATACAGGAAAAGTGCAGAGAACAGCGTCGTGACCTGTACATGGCTTTCATCGACCTAACCAAGGCCTTCGACTCGGTCCCCAGGGAAGCCTTCTGGTGGACCCACAGCCGTTTTGGCTGCCCACCAAAAATCATTGCCGTTGTGAGGTAACTCCACGATAGCATGAACGGCAGTGTCCTGCACAAAGGCACCTAGTCAGGGGTTAAGGGTGTGTACTGGCACCAACTCTCTTTTCCATCTTCTTGGCTGCCTTCCTTACTCGTGCCAGTGCCAATTTAGCCAGCGGGGTGAACATCACGTAGCGGGTTAAAGGGGGTCTTCTCAACATAAGACGTCCAGGCAAGAACAAAGGTGTTGTCAGCTTTCTTTACTGAACTTCAGTATGCAGACGATCTCACCCTTGTTGCTCACACTGAACACCACCTACAGGAGATCCTGAACACCTACGCAGACGCATATGCACACTTCGCCCTTGAGGTGAATGTACATAAGACTCGGATTCTCTTTCAACCTGCCCCTGGTTCAGACACACCTCCACCATCCCTTCAGCTTAACGGTACTACCCTCTCTAATGTTGCCCACTTTCGGTGTCTCAGCTCCCACCTGTCCACCACCGCAGACATCGATGAAGAGATTCAACATCGGATGAGATGTGCATTTCAAACCTTTGGCAGACTCCGAAATCGTGTCTTCAGCTGTGGGGAGCTGAAATTGTATACAAAGCTCCACTTATTTCGAGCAGTAGTCCTCTCCATCCTGTTATATGGCAGTGAGACATGGCTGGCATACAGGAAGAACGTCAAGGCACTTGAAAATTTTCACCAACGTAGTCTACGTTCCATCCTGCGAATTCGCTGGGAAGACAAGTGAACAAATGCCAGTATTCTTGCTGAGCACCAACTGTAGGAGCATCGAGGCTACCATTATCCATAGACAACTACGTTGGACTGGCCATGTTACCCGCATGGACGATAGTAGATTGCCAAAGCAGCTACTTTACAGTTACCTAACGAATAGTAAACGTAACGCCGGCGGGCAATTGAAAAGGTACAAGGATAGTCTTAAGACAATTTTGAAAAAGTGCCAAATCGACCATCTCATCTGGGAGTCGATTACTACACATCGTAACGCTTGGTGGAGCACCACACGAGAAGGTGTCAATACTTTCGAGGTAGCCGGACTGCAAACCGAAGCAGACAAGCGCCAGCGCCGGAAAGACGCTGCCACCGCCCCCGCAGTAGATGGAGCCCTCCACGTGTGCAATGAATGTGAAAGACGCTGCGGGTCCTGTATCGGTCTTTTTAGTCACCTCAAAACTCACTAATCTAGGTGACATCCCTAATAACTCATATCATTGTATCATAGCTGGATGATCGTCATACTCGATTCCGAGTGACAGCAAAGTAGTAGTAAGGTGTGTGTAATAAAAATAATAATGGCAATGATAATATAATAATGATTATGATGATAAACAATAATAATAATTAACGGAATATTGAGAGAAAATAGGAAACATATGCTATAATACACTATAAACAGAAATAACATAGTAGTTCATTTAAGAAAAGCTTTGTCTGAAAAAGGAAGGAAACTTGGGGTAAAGTCACAAGTTAAATAGGATTTTCACAGTGGTTGGAAAGGGACTTGTCTTGTAGTCTTGATGTGGCTATGGTATCGAACAGCTGCGTGTGGGTGGTGAGGAACGCTTACCATATATAAGTTACCCACATCTATAAATCCTGTATCGTGGTTCTCACAACAAGGCAGATGTTTGTTTAGTTTGTCTCCTAACATTCATAGTATTGAAGTATATCTTTATAGTACCTCTCTGTGATTGAAAGCTAAAATTTTAGTAAACAACTAAATATACTGTATATATAACTTTTAGTAATACTATTTTATATAATTGCATCATTTCGTATAATGAGAAGGTAGTGGAGGTGACAGGTAGTTAATGACTCCTTCCTCACCTGACAGACACAGATCACTTCACCCAGATATTATTTCTCTTTGAACATCATATCAAAGTTATTACGCCGTGAATAAGGCCGCCACCTGTACCTACCCAAATATTTATAGCTTGCACATTTTCGTCATGTTGCATAAAAGGCTGAACACTGTAGAAGATGGTGAACTGTGTGGCCCAGAGGTGATATTTCCCTGCAGCTAATGGTGCGAGAACATATACTGGTTAATTTCAGCTGTCATTTTATCATGGCATCCCATATGGCTTCAGAAGTGCACTGAGATTCAACCATAGGTGTATGTGTTCTCACACCCTGAGGTGCGAGTAATAAGGTTTGTAAATTATTTTTGGGAAATTGTTAGTCCATGTTAGTGTGAGAGCCTGACTGACGGGACCAACTAGTGGACTACTGTACGTCCTTCACGATAGCTTCCACGGGAAAGCTATTAATAATTAGCGATTAAAAAAGGGTGATCATCACACCAAATACACAACAAAAATGATTGCTTGGTAATAGTGTGACAGATCATAATTAATATTAGGTATATTTTAATCATATTATTTTCAATTTAATCCACACCTCAAAAGGCAAATTTTTGTGGAGATTTTCGATCATTAGTTTTAAGAAATATTGAGTTGGAGGATATGAAATTGTTGCTGTTTATTGTTATGTACCAGAGACCAAGAAGCTATTGGAAACATTTAAGTGTAATAAAACAACAACATAGACACAAACCAGATCGCGATGTTGCCATCTGTACCAGAACCTAGCCTAGTGAGGAGTGACGCTGCGACTCTTACCTCAGAGAATTGATATTTTTTATTTGGCTGACTGCACAGTCACTAGATACGGCTCAACTGACTGTCAGCTTTCTTATGATCTGCTTCCTCGTCTTCGGTGTTTAGAAACTGTTTTTAAAATCACACTTGCCAAGTGACTCACTACATGTCAAGGTGTGTAAAAGCACCTGTATGTTTGTCCACGCTAGCTAATTGACAAGCCAGGTATGAGAGTGTAGTGAGGTTGATGGAAAAGAGGTTACCTTGAAGAGCTCCCAGGAGGTAGGGGGAGGACTGGCGGCCACCACCACCACCCAGCACACCACCAGTGTTGTCACCTTCATCTGGGAGAGAAGGTGGGTGTTGTTAGTGACGTGACCAAACAGTTCTCTGCTTCAGTATACTGCAGGGGCGAGCCCACCCAGCTGGGTAAATCTGACCAATATCATGGGTATTTTGAGGCAATTTTGAAGTCATGCGCACTCGATATTAAGAGAGATTCTGGGTTCAATAGTAATTACTTTTCACTGTACAAAAACGGCTGAGTACAATACTGCATTGTAGAAAATGTATTGGAATTTTCTGATGAAAAGGAGGGTCTGGACCCACAGGACACCCCCTTCTCCAGATCCACCCCTGTACTATACAGTATGTGGCACATAGCAACACACCTTATGTAACGTTGTGGGAATTCATCAGAACACTTCCCCATCCACCCCGCTCTATTTCCACGCGTTAGTGAGTGTGATATAAACATATCTATTTAATGTAAATTACTCAGATATTGTTGATGGACTGTTACCATGTTTGAAGACACTATAGATGTTATTTTTGTTGTTTAACTGTTGTTTCTAATAAGATAAAACTAAGTGTATATGACTAGAAAACACAGGGGTCGTACACCCACTAAAAATTCTTCTGCACCCGTGTCATATTGTATCACGCCGTAAGAGTGCCGAATAATTTTTTAGTGGGTGTACATACATACATACATACATACTAACTGTACAGTGTACACCCATTAAGAAATTATTCGGCACTCTTACGGCGTGATACAATATGACACGGGTGCAGAAGAATTTTTAGTGGGTGTACAATGAAAGACAAAAGTCGTGTCGTGAAATTTAGTGAAAACATATGCCGAAGGGATAAAGTTTTGGTGCGCTCTACCTTGTGGTAGGGGGCTCTCATAATGTTTCACGAGTTATATTTAATCTTCGGACAAAACCGCGACACGACTTTTGTCTTTGATTGTGCATTGTATAATGTACTACATTAACAGCGACCTTAACTTTGCCTCGTGTTTAAAATAATTTCCGGCTACATTGTACAGTAACAGAGAAGCTTCACTTGTTAACTGTTGATGTATTTTATAAAGTAAAACACTTAACACTTGACGAGAATTACCAACTATCTCTATCGGCGATACAGTAATTAGAAACTCCCCACAATATTGTCAAAACTCTAATTCACCTTAAAAGTAATGCTGTATAAGATGATCTAAAACAAAAGTATAGAAATACCAACCTAAGCAAAACTGTTTGTACCAGTTAGAAAAGAATTTAGGTAGGGTAGCTGGTGTGTCTGGGTGTAGATAATAGATGGGGCCCCTGTGAAGCTGACCATCTGTTACTGCACCACTGGGTAACCTCTCATTATTATGTACACAAACAACATTATATTGAATTGAATTTGAATTGAAACAGTTTATTTAGCCAGAAAAACACAGATACAGGTGGATAATAATAACAATATTAACATGGCTGAGCCAGTTGAGAACCTGAGCTCTCCTGTAGGCACCTGATATATACTATACATTTATCTCGAGGAAGTATTATGTAACGTTTAGTAACATCTAGAATAGTACAATAGCATGGTGGTAATAAGAACATCTCAGAATGTTGACGGTTATCACTTCAATATTTATTTATTTTATTTATTTATTTTTATTATTATTATTATTTTTGCATTTATATTATACATATTACATAAGTTGCAATGTAATTGAAACACACACACACACACACACACACACACACACACATACACACACACATATATATATATATATATATATATATATATATATATATATATATATATATATATATATATATATATATACATATATATATATATATATATATATATATATATATAATGGGGAAGCAGTACAACATGGGTTGTACAGTGTGGTTGAACAAGAGGGCAGAGCTGTCAGGATTATGTTGGTAAATATATTTATTGCAATGGTAATTTCTTATCTATTTACTTGATAATTTCCGATAAAACGGTTTTGATGGTACAATAAGATCAGGTATATGTAGTAGGTATTACAAGAAATATCAATACTTAAACAATAGATATTTTTAAGAGATGATTTAAGGAAGGGGCGTTGTCTTTGCTCGGATGGGTGGGGGTAGTTTGTTCCACACCTTCACACAGTGATATTTTATGGAGGTCTGGGACTGAGAGGAGCACATGGGGGGTGGTCTTAGTAGCTCTGGGTGCCTTAAGTTGTATCTCTGATTATTCTGGAATTGGAAATAATTATTGTCAAGCAAGTGATTGATAGATTTGTAAACACAGAGGGCACAGCTGTAGGTGTTAATATCTTTGAATTTAAACTTATTCAATTTAGCAAATTTATCGTTTGTGAGATCTGTTTTCTTTAAGTAGGTCATTGTCCGTACAACTCACTTTTGTGCAGTAACCAGGGATTGGGTTTTTGAAGGCAGAGGCCCCCCCATAGTGTGTGACAGTGTATCAGGTGTTGGTAAACAAGATCATGATAGATTTCTTTCATTGCTGTGAGAGTGAGTGACTGTCGAGTGTGATACATGATACTGCACTGTTTATTGACTTTACTGTGAATGGCTTGTATGTGGTTTCTTCAGTTGAGTTTCTCATCAACAATAACTCCGAGGAATTTAGTATTTTGTTCGCGTTTGAGGACTGTATTACCATACCAACTACCATCTTACGTTACACCACAACACCTGGTAATACTATAGACACTTGGAAACTGATGAAAACACCTGTCACCATATGTAGACAACTTACACAGTCACCTGTTAAGACATGTAAACAACTGACAAAAACACCCGTTAACATGTGAACAACGGACACAAACACTAGTTACTGCATGAAGATAAGTAACACAAACACCTATTAACACATGAAATACCACAACACCTTGTACAGGTTGACAATCCCTTATCCGAAATCCTTGGGACCAGATGCATTGCGGTTTTTGGAATTTTTCGGTTTTCAGAATGGTTAAGTTTTTTTTTACAGGGATCAGCTCACCCGGGCACAGGTCACTGACCCACATTGGGGCCTGGGGTCTAAAATATAATAATAATAATAATAATAATAATAATAATTCATAGGTCTACTGTAGGTCGTGTTTCTCACTTTTGATCTTTTTTTCATTCTTGTATTTCTTTATTATTTATTATTATTATATATTTTATTATTATATTATTGTCATTATTATTATTATTGTATCATTCTTATTTTATTTTTATTTGTTTATTAAAAATTTTATTTACTATGAATAATTATTATTATTACTGTATTATCATTATTATTATTACTATAATTATTATTACTATTAATTACATTTCACCCCAGGCTGATGTGGGGTCAGTGACCTGTGCCCGGGTGGGCTGTTACCCCAAAAATTGCTCCACAAAAAAACTTTCGGTTTTTGAATTTCGGATAAGGGTTGTCAACCTGTATCAATACAAGACGACCAGGTACCATACATGGAAGCTTTTATAATATACCACAGGACGCGTGAACACACCTCGCACCTTCCGTATACCCATTACCTTCCATATAGAGGCTGAACCTTCCATATAGAGGCTGAACCTTCTATATAGAGGCTGAACCTTCCATATAGAGGCTGAACTTTCCATATAGAGGCTGAACCTTCCATGTAGAGGCTGAACCTTCCATGTGAGGCTGAACCTTCACATGGGCTGAACCTTCCACATGGGCTGAACCTTCCACATGGAGGCTGAACCTTCCACATGGAGGCTGAACTTCCACATGGAGCTGAACCTTCCACATGGAGCTGAACCTTCCACATGGAGGCTGAACCTTCCCATGAGCTGAACCTTCCCATGAGGGGGCTGAACCTTCCATATAGCGGCTGAACCTTCCATATAGAAGGGACTGAACATTCCATATAGGGGGCTGAACCTTCCGCATAGAGACTGAACCTTCCGCATAGAGGCTGAACCTTCCGCATAGAGGCTGAACCTTCCATATAGAGGCTGAACCTTCCATATAGAGGCTGAGTCTTCTATATAGAGGCTGAACCTTCTATGTAGAGGCTGAACCTTCCATATAGAGGCTGAACCTTCCATATGGAGGCTGAACCTTCCATGTAGAGGCTGAGCCAGGTCTTCTATATAGAGGCTGAACCTTCTATGTAGAGGCTGAACCTTCCATATAGAGGCTGAACCTGCCATATGGAGGCTGAACCTTCCATGTAGAGGCTGAGCCTTCCATATAGGGACTGGACCTTCATATAGACACTGAACCTTCCATATAGGGACTGGTCCTTCCATATAGAGACTGAACCTTCCATATAGGGACTGGTCCTTCCATATAGGGACTGGTCCTTCCATTAGAGACTGAACCTTCCATATAGAGGCTGAACCTTCCATATGGAGGCTGAACCTTCCATGTAGAGGCTGAGCCTTCCTTGTAGAGACTGAACCTTCCATATAGGGACTGGACCTTCCATATAGAGACTGAACCTCCCATATAGAGGCTGAGCCTTCTATATAGACTGAACCTTCCATATAGAGGCAGAGCCTTCCATATAGAGGCAGAGCCTTCCATATAGAGGCTGAGCCTTCCATATAGAGGCTGAGCCTTCCATATAGAGGCAGAGCCTTCCATATAGAGGCAGAGCCTTCCATATAGAGGCTGAGCCTTCCATATAGAGGCTGAGCCTTCCATATAGAGGCTGAGCCTTCCACATAGAGGCTGGGCCTTCCATATACATAGAGGCTGAACCTTCCATATAGGGGGCTAAACCTTCCACATAGTGGCTGGGCCTTCCATATGGAGACTGAACCTTCCATATGGAGGCTGAACCTTCCACATTGACTGAACCCTCCATATAAAATTCCAGTTAACACTAAAAAACCCAGTTAACACAAACAGTTGGCACACACAAATACAACACCAGTTAACACAAGAAACAGTTAACACACAACTACAACACCAGTTAACACAAGAAACAGTTAACACAAATACAACACCAGTTAACACAAGAAACGGTTAACACTTGACCACGTTCCACACCATGGCAGTAACACAAGATGGGCAGTTTACTGTAAAGGTC